CTTTTTAAATATGTTTTTAAAAGAAGGGAGAGAGATAGAAACATCATCGATCGGCTGCCTCCTGCATGCCCCCTTCATGCCCCCTTCTGGGGATTGAGCCCACAACCCAGGCATGTGCCCTGACCAGGAATTGAACCAGTGACCTCTTGGTTCCTAGGTTGATGTTCAACCACTGAGCCACGCCGGCCGGATACACCCAGAGTTCTTAAACCAAGGGTGGGGGATACAAGGGAGTGGTAGTCTATGAGTGGATTTCAAGAGTCTGTGAACTCTTGGAAATCATAAGAAAAACTATGCATGTTGGATTTTTGGGAGAGAGGGGGCAAAAGTGGTCACAGGGATAAGTGAGGAGTAATTGACCTGTTCAAGAATGGGCTTTATGCCCTGACCGGTTTGGCTCAGTGGATAGAGCGTCAGCCTGCGGACTCAAGGGTCCCAGGTTCGATTCCAGTCAAGGGCATGTACCTTGGTTGCGGGCACGTCCCCAGTGGGGAGTGTGCAGGAGGCAGCTGATCGATGTTTCTCTCTTATCGATGTTTCTAACTCTCTATCCCTCTCCCTTCCTCTCTGTAAAAAATCAATAAAATATATTTTTTTAAAAAAGAATGGGCTTTAGCCCTAACCGGTTTGGCTCAGTAGATAGAGTGTCGGCCTTCGGACTCAAGGGTCCCAGGTTCGATTCCAGTCAAGGGCATGTGCCTTGGTTGCGGGCATATCCCCAGTGGGGAGTGTGCAGGAGGCGGCTGATTGATGTTTCTCTTGCATTGATGTTTCTGGCTCTCTGTCCCTCTCCCTTCCTCTCTGTAAAAATTCAATAAAATATTTTTTTTAAAAAAAAGAATGAGCTTTAGAGCAGACTGTGAATTCCTTATCATTCATATGCAAAATGATATGAGACTACAATTTTCTGATGTAAAGAGTTGATTCCATAGTTTATATTTTCAAAGGAATGGTGACTGCCCTAAGAGGTTAAGAACTATTGGATTAAAACAGGCTTCCATATTGTTTATGGGGCCTAGAAATGACTAGAAATGAAGATTCCCTCAGACCTGTTGTTGGCATACATGTCAAGGTATCTCACATACTAGCCTGCATGTCCAAGCTCAGGCTACCTGCCTCTCACAAACAGGGTCTAAGGTTACATCAGTCCTGAAGTTCACTCTCATGAGTATAGATCTGGGGTTGAGGCACATGTAGGCCCTGGAATTGGGCCATTTGGGCTAGGAGGTCCAGGGTTCTGAGTTCCCAGAGCAGGTCTAGAATTGGGGGGTGGGCACAGGTTCCAGGTGGGCACTTCTAGATTCCCTTGGACGTCTCAGCCCATGGAAAGGGACACAGCCAGAGGATGTCAGAGTGGGGCCCTCTCCCTGGGTTTAGGCAATACTGGTATTCAGTACTGTTCTTGAAAACAGTCCCTGTGAGGAAGTTGAGGGTCTTGGAAGACTTAGGGTCTTGAAGAAAAAGGATGTGAGGATGCTGTGAAACCTAAGTTTTTGTATTTTGTTTTATGTCTAGTCTAGTTCTTTTTCCACTTAATTCTCAAAAGGTGTGCTATGAGTCCTAGCCAGTTTGTCTCAGTGGATAGAGTGTTGGCCTTCGGACTGAAGAGTCCTAGGTTCAATTCTGGTCAAGGACACGTACCTTGGTTGCAGGCAGGATCCCTGGCCTTGGTGCAGGAGTCAACCAGTTGATGTGTGTCTCTCACATTGATGTTTCTCTCTGTCTCTTCCCCTTCCTTCCACTCTCTTTAAAAATCAATGGAAAAATATCCTTGAGGGAGAATTAACAACAACAACAAAAATAATAATTAAGGTGTGCTATGATAGGTTCTCTATGACCTAGATTTAGCTCACCTGGCTATGCCTATATCTAGCTCTTGGGTTATGTAGACTATAGATTTAAGGGAAGAAAAAGGAATTTACTCTGTGTTGTCTCTTCTCTGGTATGTGTTGAATGTATTTAACCAGAATGATTGAACATTTAAATGTTTATGTAAGATTTGGATAATTGGTCTTAATCTATAAAAAATACTGTGTGTGCCTAAGCCAGTTTGACTCAGTGGATAGAGCATCGGCCAGAGGACTGAAGGGTCCCGGTTTGATTCCAGTCAAGGACACATACCTGTTTTGCAGACTTGATCCCTAGCCCTGGGCAGGGTGCAAGCAGGAGGCAACCAATCCATGTGTCTCTCTCACATCAATGTTTCTCTCTCTATCTCTCCTTCTCCCTTCCACTCTCTCTGAAAAAAAAAAAATCAATGGAAAAATATCCTCGGGTGAGAATTAACAACAAAAAAAGCTGTGTGTATGGGGTGGGGGGGGGGGTGTTAACCACCTTAATTTGGGTAAAGAAATGTGTTCCTGGGAAGAGTTGAAAGTTCATAGAATTTTCCTGAATAGAATTTTGTTAAAACTTAGCTTTGGAGTTACTCAATATTTAAAATAAGTGAGATAAAGGAAGAATGTTTTTCATAAAATAACCATCCCTCTATTCTGATTAATTTTAATTATAATATAAGGTGTCCCAAAAATGTATACACACTTTGAGTAATTATTAATTCCAATGAGTTAAACCTGAAAAGAATGAAACAAACTGAGCTATCAACTTCTAGTAGTGTATACATTTTTTTTCAGGGGGTGGGGAGTGGGGAAACACCCTGTATTTATATCAAGATGGGTTGTGCCTGAAGGGGCTCTTGGTTAAGCTTATCAGTGAGAACAAAAAATACCAGATTTCAAACTTTCCTTAGTAATATGAGTATTATAAAAGGCTGAAAGGCAAAAATCATACCTCCTTTCCCACATACTTCTCTTCCAATTATGTCCTCCTAATCTCTCCTACCTACTATACCCTCTCCCAGGGTCCAAGCTTGTGTCCTCATAACCTGTGGTTCTCAGGGAGAAAACTGCAGGTGATTCCTAGAGTCAGCTTGGAAAGTGGAAGGTGAACAAGGCTTCTGAGACTGGGGAGGAGAGATCTTTCAAAAATAAAAAGGGCAGTGTCGCTGTCCTTTCATTGCTTCTGGTGTCACTGCTCACTTTATGCAAGATGGCTTGGGCTGTGCAGTAAAAAATGTAAAGAGAGAGCCTTGGCCAATGTTGCTCAATTGGTTGGGCATGTGCACAAAAAAGATTGCTGGTTTGATTCCCAGTCAGGGCATATGCCCAGATTGTGGGCTCAATCCCTGGCAGGGGTGTGCAGGAGGCAGTCAGTCAAATGTTTTGCTATCACATCAATGTTTCTCTCTCTCCCTTCCTCTCTCTCTCAAAATCAACTTAAAAACCATATATATGGAGAGAGAGGGGGGAGAGGGAGGGAGGGAGGGAGGGAGAGAGGGAGAGAGAGAGAGAGAGAGAGGCCTAGAGCAGGGGTGGGGAACGTCTGACCCCCCTCAGGCCATTTAAAACCCATGAAATAATTTGATCTGGACCTGCCAAAGCATTGGGGCTGGGTTAATTAAATGTTTGACCAAATATAGTAGGCTAATTTTTAAGTTGATAATTTTGTATGGCCAACAAATGATGTTATAAATATCCAAATGGCCCTCAACCGAAAAAAGGTTCCCAACCCCTGGCCTAGAGTGTTACTAGCCTAAGGGCTGAGGTGTAGAGGGCTCTAGAGATACCTCTAAGGGAAAGGAAGTCTTTAAAGGGATATCCTGCCCTAACCGGTTTGGCTCAGTGGATAGAGCGTCAGCCTGCGGGACTCAAGGGTCCCAGGTTCGATTCCGGCCAAGGGCATGTACCTTGGTTGCGGGCACATCCCCAGTAGGGGGTGTGCAGGAGGCAGCTGATTGATGTTTCTCTCTCATGGATGTTTCTAACTCTCTATCCCTCTCCCTTCCTCTCTCTAAAAAATCAATAAAATATATTTTAAAGGGATATCCTTAGATGGAGTAGACACCAAGTGGGAGGCAAAATGTTTCCCATTCTTGGGGGCTTTTATTCACTGAATGGGGAGATCCCTTGCCTCTTCTGCTCCCTTTTAGACCTAAAAAGCCTGTTGACTACTCCCTGCCAACTACATTTGGCAGCTTTCAGAGGACACTGCCTTTTGAGCTGTCTCCAACTCTCTTGATCATCAATGGGCAAATCATACCAGTGGGGATGTTGAGTCACAGACACATGATATAGGGCTGGGAGGTGAGGGGGACCACACACCACTGGGTGGTGATATAATCTTCCAGACCACTATAGCTTTCCTTATACACTTAGAGTTTCTCCCTCGTGGCTTTCCCCACTTATTCCATATCTTCAGGGATTGTGTATTCCTCTGTATACACAATCTGTATAAATATCAGGCATTGATGCTTTTATGTGTCTAGGCCTAGTGTCTTTTATATGATGTATAATGAGTCCCTGGGTGTGGTGGTGTGAGGAGTTAGAAAGCTCAGAAATGAAAAACATTTAATGTTCAGAGTAGCAAATGAATACAGCTTACCCATTTGCATTTTCCCTTTCACTCTGACTCATCTTCCCCTCTCCCCACCCTATTATTGCCCCTCTACCAGCCCCACCCAATGGCACACCCTGTCTGATGTAGGAAGGGTTAACATCTGCCTGCACCCAAGCTAGAACAAGAGGTAGAGGGAAGACATATTAAGTCTGGAGGGAGAAAGTAGAAGGCTGGTCTGAATATTTTGGGGTCCTGGGGCCAAAGGGAGAAACAGGAGTTTAGAGACATAATATTTGAGTCTAGGAGAGGACCCAGAATCTAAGGAAAAAGCCTGGAGAGTGGGGGGAAACCAGAGAAGCCTTCCAATGCCTGACTTGTTTATCTTTGTTATTGGGCATATATGATACGCCAGGCTCATATAAGTGATTTATCAAATCAATAAAAATTTGTCATAGGATGAGGGATCATGGAATAATATGAAAAAGAAATTTGAGTTTCTCAGACGTCATCCTTTTCCCAAGTTAACAAGTGCTAAAGTGAAAAGACGGGAAATCTCCGAGGACCTTGACTCTGGGCAGGAAGTGAAAGAAACCCCGGAGTTCTGATTTCAGAGAAATTAATTTGTCATCAATCCAAGAAAAGGAGTTTTTCTCTTCAAAGACCACCACAGACCCTTTCTGGGGTTACCCCCTTCAGAGTTTGATGGGAGGATCTGAGTCACTCACACACCCAGTCCTCAGTGATGGCTCAAATGACAGAGGTCATTTCCACAAAGCAGTCAAGGCTTCCTAGTATCAAGTCAGGCATGCTTTGGGCTCTCCTTCCCTCTCTCCTTGGAATCCAGATATTCCAGTCCTTTTCGCCTCTGAGATAGTAGAAACCGCGTTCATCTGCTGGAGCTCTGCTGACACCTCTAAGAAACAGAATTAATACTATTTGAGTGATACTATGTACTGACAAACCTCTTTCACATTCATCATTTCATCTTCACCCCCACCTCCAAATAAGATAAGCAGAGGTTTACCCTATTTCATGAATGAGGTAAGTAAGGGAGGCTCAGAGAGATGATTTGCCCAAGGTGACTCAACTAGTAAATGGCAGAGATGAGACTCAAATGCAGATCTGATTAGTTCAGAGTTTTTTGTTGCCTCAGATACACTTCTTTGACTCTAGAAGTTCACAAATGAAATAAGGAGACAGGTTAGGAGGCAGGATGCCTGGATTCTAGACTAGAAGGGGTGGTCTCTCCTGGAGGGGTGAATCAGAGCCAGGGGTAAAAAACCACACCCTGTGGGGGAACTGTAGCAGACTGATACTTGGGACACCCAATGGAAGATTGTGAGGTCAGGGGCGGAGTTATTGGGGTAGAGGGTGGGCAGGAGCCCAACAGAAGTTCAGAACATGCGGTGTTCAGGAGGAAGCTACAACTGGTGAGTGGTTTCTTCTCCCCAGCTGAGACTTTCTTCCCATTATACCCCTCTTCCTGTCCACTTCCTGCCAACCTATAGCCCTCTCCCTGAGGTGACCAAGTAATAATCCTCCCTCCCACAAGAGTCCTCACCACATCTAGGAATATGCCTGCTGGGTCTGCCTCTTTGTATCTGAGTTCCCAGTTCTCTTCTTAAAAGCCAATGTGGTGATTTTGATGTGTGAGAAATTCCTGTCTTGTTGGGTTCTTTTTATTCTTCACTTTTGGCGTATGAAAAACAAAATTAAACCATCTTCTTATCTTAACCTTCAGAGGAAATAGCCTCTCCTCTGTAGTTCTCATTTCCCTTTCTCTCACTTCCTCAGGGGTCAAAGTCTTCTCCCAAACCTCTCTCTATCCTTGGATCAAGAGCCTTCTCTCCTGTGACTTCTACACCTGCTCTTAACTCACTAGACAGGCATCTTTGGTCTCTTCCAGTTCCTTCTCTGCGGATGTGTTCTAGATGCTTCAGCCTCAAGGAGATGATCGATGCCTTGGAACCTGCCCTCCTGCAACTATGACCCCATGTATTGCTGATTTTCTGCTTCTCAGGACCCTCAGCTCCACGTGATGGACTTGTGTGGGGACACACTAGCTCTCTAAACTCTCCCATGAGCCGTGTCTTGCTCGATCCCTAACTGACAGGGATGACTGAGTCTGGAGGTGATCTCTTTGTCTCGAATGAAGGGAGCCTGGCCTGCTCAGAGGGGCTCCGAGAAGCAGAAGTATCAGTATGTGCTATCATTTAAGTCAGAGATTGCTAATTGGCAGAATCCATCTACTAGTCTTAAGCCCACTACTTAATGTAGTTGTTAACTACCTGATCCTTGCTTTTTAAGTCCTCACTGTAATCTAATTTCTGTTCTCTTGCCACCAAACTCTAGGCCCCTGTTATGGTTCTGGATAAGCTCAAGTCCTCTCTTGGGTTACTTTATTTGCTCCATTCAGGATAGAGAGCTCTGATCCAGAACAAACAACTCATTCTTTCTCCCCTCACCTCCACAGGCTTGAGAATATGCTGTTCCTTCCTCCCCTTTCCACCATGGACCTCGAACTGTGGCCTTTGTCTCAGGACCTCTGAGACTGGTACCCAGGCAAGGCAAAATGCCCCTGTCCCCAACAAGACTGCCTAGCCCCTATGGCTCTGATCGGCTGGTACGGCTAGCAGCCAGGCTCAGGCCAGCACTATGTGATACCATGATCACCGTGGGGAGCCAGGAGTTCCCTGCACACAGCCTGGTGCTGGCAGGTGTGAGCCAGCAACTAGGCCGCAGGGGTCACTGGACTCTGGTGAAAGGAATTAGCCCTTCCACTTTTGAGCAGCTTCTGTACTTTGTTTACGGAGAGAGTGTTGAGCTGCAACCTGGGGAACTGGGGCCCCTTGAGGAGGCTGCCAGGGCCTTGGGGGTGCAGTCCCTGGAAGAGGCATGCAGGAAGGCTCGAAGAGACAGGGCTAGAGCAGAGTTTAGTCAAGGGCTGAAGGAACATCAGAAGCCAGAGAAACCCACAAGGGATTCTGAGAGTGGAGTGGGGGACCTTGGAGAGCAGAGACCAGAGAAGTTTATTAGAGCTGGTGGGAGAGAACAGGAGATGGTGCAGGAGCACAGGCCACTGAGAGAGAGCTCTGAGATAGCAGAGGCAATGCCGGAGGATCAGAGGGAGCATATGAGATCAGAGGAGAAACTCGACCAATCCCTTTTTGGCCACGGGGGAGTAGGTAGGAAACAAGAAGTGATCATGTGGGTGAAGGAGAGTCCAGGGGGCTCTGAGGAAAGTTTAGGGAAGTTGCCTGGCCCCCCACCCCCACCAGGTTCCCTCCAAACCAGCAGCATCACCTCTAGGCCCTGGTGGGCTGAGGCCCCTTGGTTGAGGGAGAGCCAGCCTGCCCTGTGGAGCCTCCTGCTATTGCCGCCCAGATATGGCACTCCTTTCTCCCATAGTACTTCCATCAGTGCAGCCTGGCAAGAGGTCTGGCCTCAGGATCAGAGGTGAGTGAAGGGCCCAATGGAAGCCTATCTGGGAGGGAGTAGCTCAGGTGAGGCAATGGTGATTGGTGAAAGGGCACCACATCTTTTATCTCTATTGTACATTTCCTGAACTGGAGATAGGACAAAAAGCTCCCACCACAGGGGAAACCAAAGCCCAGCACCTGAGAATATACATCACCTTCCTCTCCAGGATGGGGTCGGTCAGGATCCCAGGTTTTGCCAACTCTGTTACTCTTCTCCACCCCACCCCTAGGATTCCACTGTCCCTGAACCTCCACAAAGGGCTCAGGAGCCAGAATCAGTTGGCCTTCTCTAGCTCTACCTCAGGTAAGCCCTTCACTGTCCTGCATGAACCCTGTAATATGGTCTCTCTGCTGGGGCTGGGGCTGCAGGAGTCCAGCCTGAGTAGGGCCCCTACTTCACTCTGTTCTCTCCAGGTTCCCTCCCCCAGGGCCCCGCAAAGCTCAGCCCTGGGGAGATGGAAGAGTCTGATCAGAGGCACACAGGTGAGTAGGGTGAGGATACTTTTGCTTCAGTCCCATTGTAGTCCCTGATATCTTGCCTGGGTATTCCAGTGATCCGACTCTGGGATTCCCAGCTCTGCCCTCCTTTACCTTCTTTGTCCCCACAGGTGCACTTGCAACCTGTGTGGGTCATGTGGGCAAAGCAGGCTGCCCATCTCGCCAACAGCCTTTCAGGCCTCCTCCTGCTCGGTCCAGGCCCTATTCTTGTTCTGTCTGTGGAAAGAGGTTTTCACTCAAGCATCAGATGGAGACACACTACCGAGTCCACACAGGTATGGGCACCCTGCCCAAGCACTGACTTGCCTGCCCCTAAGTCCCTCTCTGCTGCCTAGCTTCCACACAACTCCCTTGTCCAGTTGCACCCGATCTACCCCTAGGCTGCCTTCTTTTCTTTTTCTTTTTAATTAATATATTTTTATTGATTTCAGAGAGGGAGAGGGATAGAGGGATAGAAACATCACTGATGAGAGAGAATCATTGATCGGCTGCCCCCTACTGGGGATCAAGCCCGCAACCCAGGCATGTGCCCTTGGCCAGAATGGAACCTGGGACCCTTCAGTCCGCAGGCCGATGCCCTACCCAGAGCCAAACCGGCTAGGGCTTCGCCCCCTTCTTATCTTCACCCCCTTTCCCCTCCACCCGCCCTAGGAGAGAAGCCCTTTTCCTGTGGCCTCTGTCCCCAGCGCTCCCGGGACTTCTCGGCCATGACCAAGCACCTGCGGACACACGGGGCTGCACCCTACCGCTGCTCTCTGTGCGGAGCCGGCTGCCCCAGCCTGGCCTCCATGCAGGCACACATGCGGGGCCACTCGCCCAGCCAGCTCCCGCCGGGATGGACCATTCGCTCCACCTTCCTCTACTCCTCCTCCGCCTCTACCTCCTCGAGGCCATCCTGGGACTCCACCTCCAAGTAGGTCCCCTGCCTCCTCCACCTGACGGGATGGCAATAGCTTCTTTGGCTGCAGCTAAAGAATGAAAGATATAAAGACAGGCCGGCGGGCTGGCTAGGCTTCTGACCCGGCACCCCGGCTTTGGCAGCCTAGCGAATTCGGCTAAGAAGCATCGCGGGAAGGGCCCCGAGAGCCCTCTCCCGGTGACCAAGGACCGCAGAAGCCTGGACTGGCGATCCCGTGTGGGGCGAGGGCAGTGAGGTTTGCACAAGTGAATCTTAACTGTGTGGGGACTGTTGATTTCATTACTAAAATAAAGCGTTGTCTGTGCCTTCCTCTCAGGACAAGAAAGCTGAGTCCAGAATTTAGTCTGCGCGGGTCGGGGGTGCGCGCAGCCTCGCCCCTGGTCCTGTAGCGGCCCCTCGTGGCCGCACGTCCGCTGTTCGGCACGGCGGCCCCCTCCTCGGTCTCCCCGGCCTCCCGGGAGGCAGCGGGTCGGGAGGGCTCCATGTTCGGGCTGACTTAGCAGCCAGCCCTGCGGGGGAAAGCTGTAAGAACCCCAGGTCCTGCCCTTCCCACGGCAAGCCAAGGCGCACGCAGTCGGAGTCGGGGGGTCCCTGGCCCGGGCTGGAGGAGCCGCGTACTCCACTCTGCTTTCAACCACCCGCCTCCTCTCCTGAGGACGAGGGCCGCGGCTTCTGCGGCATCTCTGCTCCACGCTGCGTGCAACGGCGGCCGGGTCGACCCTGGAACTGAGACTAACTAACCCTTGGCCGCCGCCCCCTCCCCAGCCCCAGCTCCCGCAGTCGCGAACTTCGCTTCGCGGTGTCCTCGGGCTCCCAGGGAAAGAAGCCCCTGCACCCTGGGAGTGGTAGTTCCCGCCGGCCGCCGGCCGCACCAGGACGATGGGAGGAGTCCGGGGCGAACACCACGCCTCCCGGCGGCTCGGGAGCGATCTTTCTTTCTGGGTCGGGTCGGGACCCCTCCAGACCCAGCTCTCGCGGCCCCAGCGCCCGGCGGAAGAAGCGCGACGCCTGGACTACATTTCCCGGAGGCCCCTGCGCCTCACCCCTCTCTGGCCGCGACGCGGGGTCTCCGCTCCTCAGGCGCGGTCTCAGGTGACGGCCCGCCGGCCGCGGACTCCCGCTCCCGTGGTGCCCCGCGCGTGGCCGGCCCAGCCCCCGGCTCCCGCCAGACCCGCGGCGCGCCGGAAGTTGTCGTGAGCGAAGCGCG